GCAAAAAATATTGCTTTTGGTTACTTATAGTTAAACATAGAAAATTAGTGTATCTATCCCAACCTGCGTCACTTATGGCGTAGGCGTGATATCCGTTCGCTAACCAAAGGACGAATGTACTGCGCAGCAGTTCGCTCCGTTCTCCTATATGGCTGTGAAACATGGCCATTAAGAGTAGAAGATATTCATAGGTTACTAGTATTCGATCATAGATGTTTAAGAAGCATTGCTCGTATATCCTTGGACAACCGAGTATGCAATGCTGTTGTTAGGAAACGGGCGCTAGGTAAGAATGGCAGATCAATAGATGAAGTAGTGAAACTTCATCAGTTTAGGTGGTTGGGACATGTGTTATGAATGCCTAACCACCGACTGCCTCGATGAGCTATATTTTGTTGTGTAGGAGTAGGTTGGAAGAAATCTAGGTGCGCCCAGACCAAAACATGGAAGAAATCCATGAAGTCACTGACAAATGGACTGAGTCATGTTGGTAGATGTAGACTACCTGGTTGGGGTCCGCGAGACGAAAGTCACCAATGGTTAAAGACCTTGAACGACATAGCTCAGAATCGTTTGCAATAGCGCAAGTGCATTCATTCGTTGAGCTCTCTCAAATCCTTATCTTCTGGATTCGTCAGCACATCTACCTTTGTCTTTCTAACTTTAACTCACTGAATTATACTTCTTGAATAATATTTTCAAACCCTAGTCTTCTTCATTACCATTAATACCTCTACAATCTTCATCACTATGGGATTCGAATTGACATTTGCGTCTCTGTGTTAATGTGGTATGGCAACCTGAACTGATGTACATACGAACGAAGTTCTACGTTGCAACTGACTGACTGAGTGTATCTATCAAACATATGCATAGAATGTTAATGGAAGAGTGAAAAGATATTTTACTTTGATAAATCAAACCATAACTAAAGAAACATTTGACATTTATGACAAGATCTCCACATACAAGTGAAATTTTAAATGAATTTCTCTTTTGTCTATTATCCTTGTTATAGTTTTCGGTTCTCATTTCGCTTTGTTCTAATTCTATTTTCTTTCTTCGTTTCATTCTACTGATATATTTGAACATATTACAATTAATAGTAGTAGTAGTAGTAGTGTGAGTAGTAGTAGTAGTAGTAGTAGTAGTAGTAGTAGTAGTAGTAGTAGTAGTAGTAGTAGTAGTAGTAGTAGTAGTAGTAGTGGTAGTAGTAGTAGTAGTAGTAGTATTAGAGATATGTTTTTGTTACTATGACAAATTTTAAATCAAATAACTCATACTTAAACTAGTCGACAGATAGAGAGAGAGAGACATTTTTTACATGAGCATTTGGTTTGTGAAGCATAACACTCAATTTTGTTTGTAATATTTAAAAGATTTGTTCTCGTTTGTTGGATTTATTCAATATTCAATTGTTCATGTTCAATGTTTATTTCTATATAAACCGATTCCATTGCATAACAGCTTTACAATGAAATGAAAACAGTTAATAAACTTTAAAGAATTACATGGACATGTCCTTAAAATTTTTAGTGAGAATTTGTAAATTTCATGCTAATCAAAATGACCTTCGATTAAAGTTGAAACTGTATTGTTTTAATTGTAAAATAATTCATTAAGAGTTCAATCATTAATATGATGATGGTGCTAGTGGATCCCATACTAAAGCAAACTAACTGTCTGTAGTGAAGGAGAACACAGGTGAGGACAACCGTATTGTATTTATCTCAAATTACAGAGTTACTCAGTAAAATAGGAAAACCATATCGTAAACAGTTAATTTGCAAAATATCAATCCATCATCAATCCATTGTCTGACATTTCACTCACTATTCATGCGTTTCATACAAATTCCATTGTGTTCTAACTCTTCCTTTCTTGATCTTCCCCCATCTTCTGCTGCCAGACATTACGCTGACACTCGCGTCATATACAACTTTTAAGTAGCGCGCACCACACTCGTCCCCACTTTTAATAAGCTGTCGTCGTAGTCTTTCTAATCGCCGAATCGCTGTCTTCTTTGGTGCTTTCCGTGACTCACACACTTGATAATCTTGAAACCACCTCTGCAGTTGACTAGCATTTACACGCTTCTACTTGCCTTCTCTCCGGATTGTGTACACCGCGCCGCGTCTCTCCGTGATAACGTAGGGTCCTTCCCACTTTGGGATCAGCTTTCCCGACCCCGATCCCCCTGCTATGCTGCTTTTTTGTTCTCTACACTTTACTAGGTTCCCCACTGCAAAAGGTTTCCACGTTCTCCTCTGTTGTTCCGCCTTCTTTATGTCTGATATTTGTTTCTTTCCCACGTTCCTGATTGCCTCCCTCCTCTCTTTTCTTAACCTTGTTGTTGTCCATTTCTGTTGTTGTGGCCAGGTCTTATTGTGTAATGGAAGTCACGGTTGTCTGCCATACATGAGCGAGAAGGGTGATTTCTTGATTGTTCCTTGTATGGAGGAACGATGCGCCAGCAAAATCAATGGTAACTCTTTATCTCAATCTCCTCTTTTAGATGCTAACCATTCCTTTAACGTCCGGCTGTTTCTCTCTGTAAGCCCGTTTGTCTGAGGATGATACGGTGTAGTTCGTATCCTCTTGATGCCAAACTGTTTTAGACGGTCTTTAAACTCGTCACTTTCAAAACAGGGACCCTGGTAAGTTAATATCATTTTCGGTATTCCATGGTACGCTACAATATCCTGGATCACCATTTTGATCAGTATTCTTGCCCGCTGGTCTGCAATGGGTACGGCATCTATCCAACGTGTAGCATGCTCCGTCATCACTAGCAGGTACCGGTTACCGGTCGCCATCTGTGGAAACGGTCCCATTATATCCACCGACCATAGATCACCGACTTCGGTTACTGGGATCGACTGTAATGGCGGTTGTGTGTATCTATCGCTTTTCATTAGTTGACACTGCTGGCAAGTTAACACGTATTGAGACACATTGTCTCTCATGCCTGGCCAGTATGCACTTTGTCGTAATAATTCCGTTGTTCTTGCGATACCTGTATGTGCTACCTGGTTACACTCGTGTATCTTATTACGCCGCCAGTCTTTCGGGATTACAGCCACCCAATTCTTAGTACGCTAACTAAAATCAATCTGTCATGAATATAATCTTTTGATAAATCAGTAGTCAAGTTTTTTTCTTAAATAACTTAGATTCTTAATCAAGTTAACACGTTGAATAAATTATTTTAAAGAATCGATTTATTTCGACGATTTTATAAAACAGAAATGATTTATATTCATGAACGGAATAGAATTTCACAGTAACATCGTTAGATGCCGGCTGATTGGTTAAAAGATTATGTGTTTACGTACGAAACTGAAGGTTCTAGGTTCGATTCCTGCATGCGGGATCGTGGTTACGCACTATTGAGCAGTCACATACTAAGACAACATGGATGTTCAATGTTTCTAGGTTTCCAGTAGTGGTCTAACCTTGATCAGTTCATGATTTCCAAGAAAATTAAACTCTTTCTACAACTTCATACGAACAATGAATAGATTTTGCAGTTATTTTGTGGAAATAACTGAAATTCATGTAACGTAATTGTTTAATTGACAAACTACAGGATTAAACAAGCTGTATATATATATATATATACTCATATTTATAATAAATGATGTTATAACGATGATTTCTAATCAGTATATTCATATTCTACTTTATCGCTTGTGTGTGATAACTCACTTGAAATAAGATTTAATCAAGTTGTGAATATTTTTAATGATGAAGTATTGTTTAAAATGTGATCATGTATAATATTGCAGACGAAAATGTCATTTTCTTAAAATAAGTAAGAACAAATAATTAATAGGAGTTGTGGAAATGGTTAAAATTGTGATAACTCTAATCCGATTGCTCTAGGTCCTTCTAAATAAAGCAAGAAGTCTTGATAAGGCATAGAGAATGTATTCTACAGGTAGCCAGAAAATATGAGGTTGCTAAGCACTCAACTCAAGCTTATTTATACAATGATAGAAACGCTCTTGGTGAGAGCCACAAAATGGCATACTAAAATAATCCATCAACCAATCACAGTCAAGGTTTTTCCGAGTGGGAGATGTAAGCTGAAGGTCAATTAAGCGTTTCGTGGCGTGGAAACATAGAAATTCAAAAGTTTTCAGAAATAAATTACAAAATTAGGATCTTTTCCAAGTGAGTTCTGAGAATCTAATCTTCTCCAACGATTGAATAACTGTCTATTGGTTTAGCTAAGATCGTTTTGTGATTTACAAAGTGATAATAATAATTCATGTGTTTGTAGTTACTACTTTAGTAGAGAAATAAGTTTAGAAATAAAACCTTCAAAATTAGGACCATTTCCAAGTGAGTTCTGGGGATCAAACTTTCCAAATGCAATGAACATCTGCCTTGTCGTAGTATTGTAGTGAATGAGAACACAGGTGGGGCAACCGAATTGATTTAACGAAAATTACAGAGTTACTCAGTAAAATCGAAAAACCATATCGTAAATCGTTAATTTGCAAATCTTCAATCCATCATCAATCCATTGTCTGAAATTTCTCTATTCATGCGTTTCATACAAATTCCATTGTGTTCCCACTCTTCCTTTCTTGATCTCCCCCCCCCATCTTCTGCTGCCAGACATTAAGTTTTTACTCGCGTCATATACTACTTATAAGTAGCTCGCACCACAGTATGACCTCTAACAGTTGTGCTTATATACAAAACCACATAAAGGATTGAATCCAAGACCGTTGGTCAAACTCATAAATGTTTAACCTCTAGCTCACCGACTTGATATCTAATCGTTTTTCATGATAATGCTCACCCAGCTGCTACTGAATGAGGTCAATAACTATCTCATAACCCCTATGGATATGTACTCGTAAGAAGTCCTATTCTAAGATAAGACATCTATTCAGTATTTTCTGATTTTCATCAATAGTCTAACTAAAATTATGAATTGTACATGAATCGAAGATTATAGCTCTTTATCATTACATAAGACGTTTTCTATGCATCACTCACTATTCTGTTCTGTTTTTATTTGCTTAGATTCTTCTTCAAAAAGCCCACATTTCTCCTCACAGTCAACGTTCAATGATCAATCTTATATAAATGAAAATGAATTAAAAAAAACTCCAGAGAAAATCTTTAATTTAAATAAAGAATATCAATCATACAATGAAATCACAATGAATGTTGTGATCAGTGATCAAGAAGACAATAATATTGATAATATTAATAATAATAATAATAATAATAATAATAATAATAATCACATTCATTCTCTGTCATCCATTACCCCATTAAATCTTTCTACAGATAATAGATCTATTCATCAAAACAAAAATGATCATTGTACATTGGAACAAATGAAACCTGTTCAACAACATTCAAGCTTCAATCATAATAATAATAATCGATTAACAACTGATATCCATTTAGATCAATCTGAAAATCACACAAATAATCATTTAAATCACACAATGATCACAATCAAAACAAATAATGATTACAATGTTAACAATAATAATAATAATAGTGACGTAATAACTGATTGGAAGTCTCACCAGTTGTCTTCACTATTTCAAATTGTTGATAATCAGACTACAAGTAATTATAACACCAGTAATAATAATAATAATAATAATAATAATAGTGAGAATGAGAATGATAATAAATCACAAGTTCATCAACAAATTGATACTGAATCAAATACAGTGAATCGTAATCGTAATGGTACTACTAGTTCTACTACTAGTACAACTACTACTACAACTACGACTATTACTACTTCATCAATGAAATCTAGACGATTGAAATGTTCGAAATCATTGAAATATTCACAACAGTAAGTGGCATTTGATATATATTATATAAATATATATCGCATTATGGGGTTGTGAAGATTGTTAAGTTACACACGGTGAAGTTCAACCTGTTTAGGTGTAGACAGTAACTACTACCGAAGACTGTGTTAGGCGTTTGCACGCACATACCGAAGGTCCTGGGTTCGAATCCTGCAGGGTTCAGGAGTCATGGATGCGCACTGCTGATGAGTCTCATACCAGGACGAAACGGCCGTCTTTCAGTGCTTCCAGGTTTCTAATGGTAGTCTAACATTGATCGATTCATGGTTTCAAATATATATATGTGGTAAAACACGTTTTATGGTTAAGGTGAATTGAGATTTTACTTCATTACAGATGGGTTTCATCTGGATAGTTATCCCATT